GCACCCCCCCCTCCGGAGCCTCAGCCCCCCCACACACACACACGTGTCATGAGTTGGGCCGGGCTCAGCCCCTTCACAGGTGTCACGAGTTGCCCAGGGCTCAGCCTCTCACACGGGTGTCATGGGCTGGGCAGGTCTCAGCCTCCTCGCACACACATGTAACGAGCTGCCAGGTCTCAGCCTCTTGCACAGATGTCATGAGCTGGTCAGGCCTCAGCCCCCTCACACACATGTCACGAGCTGGCTGGGCCTCGGTCCTCTTCACACACACGTCACGAGCTGGCCCGGTCTCAGCCCCTTCACACTCTCAGATGTCATGACCTGGCCAGGTCTCAGCTCTCCTCATACAGGTGTCACGAGCTGGCTGGGCCTCAGCCTCTTCACACACATGTCACGAGCTGGCTGGGCCTCGGTCCTCTTCACACACACGTCACGAGCTGGCCCGGTCTCAGCCCCTTCACACTCTCAGATGTCATGACCTGGCCAGGTCTCAGCTCTCCTCATACAGGTGTCACGAGCTGGCTGGGCCTCAGCCTCTTCACACACATGTCACGAGCTGGCTGGGCCTCGGTCCTCTTCACACACACGTCACGAGCTGGCCCGGTCTCAGCCCCTTCACACTCTCAGATGTCATGACCTGGCCAGGTCTCAGCTCTCCTCATACAGGTGTCACGAGCTGGCTGGGCCTCAGCCTCTTCACACACATGTCACGAGCTGGCTGGGCCTCGGTCCTCTTCACACACACGTCACGAGCTGGCCCGGTCTCAGCCCCTTCACACTCTCAGATGTCATGACCTGGCCAGGTCTCAGCTCTCCTCATACAGGTGTCACGAGCTGGCTGGGCCTCAGCCTCTTCACACACATGTCACGAGCTGGCTGGGCCTCGGTCCTCTTCACACACACGTCACGAGCTGGCCCGGTCTCAGCCCCTTCACACTCTCAGATGTCATGACCTGGCCAGGTCTCAGCTCTCCTCATACAGGTGTCACGAGCTGGCTGGGCCTCAGCCTCTTCACACACATGTCACGAGCTGGCTGGGCCTTGGTCCTCTCCACACACACATGTCATGAGCTGGTCAGGTCTCATCCCTCTCTCTCACACACACGTGTCACGAGCTGGGCTGGTCTCAGCCCTCTCCACTGACACACGTCATGAGCTGGGCAGGTCTAATTCCCTTTACACACATGTCATGAGCTGGCCAGGTCTCAGCTCCCCTCCTACAGGTGTCACGATCTGGCCAGGTCTCAGCTGTCCTCATACAGGTGTCATGAGCTGGCTGGGCCTCAGCCCCCTTCACACACATGTCACGAGCTGGGCAGGTCTCAGCTCCTTCATACACACAAGTCATGAGCTGGCCTGGCCTCAGCCCTCTCTTACACACGTGTCACGAGCTGGGCTGGTCTCATCCCTCTCACACACACACATCATGAGCTGGGCAGGTCTCAGCCCCTTCACACACACGTGTCACGAGCTGGGCCGGTCTCAGCCCTCGCTCACACAGGTGTCACGAGCTGGGCAGGTCTCAGGCCCTTCGCACACATGTCACAAGCTGGCTGAGCCTCAGCCCTCTCCACTCACACACGTCACGAGCTGGGCGGGTCTCAGTCCTCTTCACACACACATGTCGTGAGCTGGGCCGGTCTCAGCCCTCTCTCACACAAATGACACGAGCTGGGCAGGTCTCAGCCCCTTCATACGTATGTCACAAGCTGGCTGGGCCTCAGTCCTCTTCACACACATGTCAGGAACTGGGCAGGTCTCAGCCCTCTCCACACACACACATGTCACGAGCTGGGCAGGTCTCAGCCCACTCACACATATGTCATGAGTTCGGCAGGTCTCAGCTCCTTCACACACACATGTCATGAGCTGGCTGGGCCTCAGCCCTCTTCACACACACGTCACGAGCTGGGCAGGTCTCAGCCCCCTTCACACTCACAGATGTCACAACCCGCCCAGGTCTCAGCTCTCCTCATACAGGTGTCACGAGCTGGCTGGGCCTCAGACCCCTCACACACATGTCACAAGCTGGGCAGGTCTCAGCCCTCTCCACTCACACATGTAATGAGCTGGGCAGGTCTCAGCCCCTTCACACGCATGTCACAAGCTGGCCAGGCCTCAGTCCTATTCACACACACTTGTCACTAGTTGTTTAGGCCTCACAACCCCACATGTCAGGAGCTGGGCCAGTCTCGGCCCCTTCACACACATGTCACGAACTGGGCAGGTCTCAGCCCTCTCCACACACGTGTCACGAGCTGGGCAGGTCTCAGCCCCTTCTCACACATGGCATGAGCTACTGGGCCTCAGCCCCTTCACACACACATCACAAGTTGCCAGGCCTCATCCCCTCACACAGGTGTCACGAGCTGGCTGGGCCTCAGCCCTCTCTCACATACATGTCATGAGCTGGGCAGGTCTCAGCCTTTTCACACACATATCACAAGCTGTTTGGGCCTCACACCCCCCACATGTCATGAGCTGGGCAGGTCTCAGCCCTCTCTCACACACACATGTCACGAGCTGGGCAGGTCTCAGCCCTCTCCACTCACATGTCACAAGCTGGCTGGGCCTCAGCCTCTTCACACACATGTCACAAGCTGGCTGGACCTCGGTTCTCTCCACACACACATGTAATGAGCTGGGCGGGTCTGAGCCCTCTCTCACACACACGTGTCACGAGCTGGGCAGGTCTCATCCCTCTCCACACACACATGTCATGAGCTGGTCAGGTCTCAGCCCCCTTCACACTCACAGATGTCACAACCTGCCCAGGTCTCAGCTCTCCTCATACAGGTGTCACGAGCTGGCTGGGCCTCAGTCCTCTCTCACACACGTCATGAGCTGGGCAGGTCTCAGCCCTCTTCACACACACATGTCGTGAGCTGGGCCGGTCTCAGCCCTCTCTCACACAAATGACATGAGCTGGGCAGGTCTCAGCCCCTTCACACACACATGTCACGAGCTGGGCAGGTCTCAGCCCTCTCCACTCACATGTCACGAGCTGGGCTGGGCCTCAGCCTCTTCACACACATGTCACAAGCTGGCTGGACCTCGGTCCTCTCCACACACACATGGGCAGGTCTGAGCCCTCTCTCACACACACGTGTCACGAGCTGGGCAGGTCTCATCCCTCTCCACACACACATGTCACGAGCTGAGCAAGTCTCAGGCCCTTCACACACACACAAGTCACGAGCTGGGCTGGTCTCAGCCCCTTCACACACATGTCATGATCTGGCCAGGTCTCAGCTCTCCTCATACAGGTGTCACAAGCTGGCTGGGCCTCAGTCCTCTTCACACACATGTCATGAACTGGCTGGGCCTCAGCCCTCTCACACACATCATGAGCTGGGCAGGTCTCAGCCCTCTCCACACACATGTGTCACGAGCTGGGCCGGTCTCAGCCCTCTTCACACACACATGTCACAAACTCGCCAGGTCTCAGCCCTCTCTCACACACATCATGAGCTGGGCAGGCCCCAGCCCTCTTCTCACACACACGTCACGAGCTGGGCAGGTCTCAGCCCTCTCCACTCACACATGTCACGAGCTGGGCCGGTCTCAGCCCTCTCTCACACATGTCACGAGCTGGACAGGTCTCAGCCCTCTCTCTCTCACACATGTGTCACGAGCTGGGCAGGTCTCATCCCCTTTACACACATGTCATGAGTTGCCAGGCCTCATCCCCTCACACAGGTGTCACAATCTGGCCTGGTCTCAGCTCTCCTCATACAAGTGTCACGAGCTGGCTGGGCCTCAGCCCTCTTCACACATGTCACGAGCTGGTCAGGTCTCAGCCCCTTCACACACACATGTCACGAGCTGGGCAGGCCTCATCCCTCTCCACTCACACGTGTCACGAGCTGGGCCGGTCTCAGTCCTCTTCACACACACATGTCGAGCTGTGCCTGTCTCAGCCCTCTCCACTCACAGGTGTCATGAGCTGGGCAGGTCTCATCCCCTTTACACACATGTCATGAGTTGCCGGGCCTCATCCCCTCACACAGGTATCACGATCTTGGCTTGGTCTCAGCTCTCATACAGGTGTCACGAGCTGGCTGGGCCTCAGTCCTCTTCACACATGTCACGAGCTGCGCAGGTCTCATCCCTCTCTCTCACACGTGTCACGAGCTGGGCAGGTCTCAGCCCCACCAGTGTCTGGCGGGTCCCTGGTGCCCCCAGCCCCCCCGTTCCATATCCCCCCCCTCTCCATCAGGTCCCGCCATGAACCCCCCTCCGCGCCGCGTGCGGCTGAAGCCGTGGCTGGTGGCGCAGGTGGACAGTCAGCACTACCCGGGGCTGCACTGGCTGGACACGCAGCGGCGACGCTTCGCCATCCCCTGGCACCACGCCACGCGCCACCCCCCCGGCACACACCACCACGACACCATCTTCAAGGTGACACTCTGGGGGGGA